ATAATAAAGGAACCTTAATGCTAACCTCTTTCTTCTCACCCATCTGTATGGAAGGTAAGATTCTTAGGGAGATCCCAAAAGGGAGACTGGTTTAAGTAAATCACAGCCTCATTTTTATTTTTCTTTACCTCTTCCTTTAATAAAACCTGGTGTAGGAGAAACTTTGATAAATGGGCCTTGCAGAGTCATCATCCAACTCGAGCACTCACATCTGTCCTACTACCTCTATTCTGATAGTTGTTCTCCTCCATTATTTGAGAATAAACATAGTTTCATATTCTTTGATGACAAGGATGTGATTTCATTGATGTGGACATTCCCTCCAGCTCTGAAGACTGAAATCCAACCTTGGCTCCCCATTCTAATTGACTCTTATTCATGTCTTCCTATATCATGGGAGTGGGGAAGTCCACCCAATCTGCTAGGGGCCTTTCATTAGAGCTCTTGTCATTGCACCAGTGGACAAGGGCTGTCCATTGTTTGTCCTTCACTCGTGCTATCTAACCAACTCACCTTTTCCATACATACATCTTTCTAATAATAACCTTTATGACACTTCTGTTGTGCATTTATTTGCTGGTAATACATTGTAGCCTGCTCTTGTCCACTGCCTTTTGGGTGGTTCATAACTTTAATTTTTTGGAGATTCCACTACACAAATCCATATAGCACCATCAGAAGAATATTGTTAAAGTGATGGTCATTCATGTCTAATGTGGGAATTTGATTTGCCTCACTATGAAGTTATATATTGAGAACTTTCTTTCAATATTTTTTTCTACTTGCTAAAATGGGGTGGGGAACGCAGTAGGAAAGACAAAAATTTTTTTAAACCTTGTTAATTAAAAAATAAAAATTGATAAAAACTATTAAAAAGAAAAGGAAAAATAAAAACAAATAAAAAGATGACCATTGGTTTCAGAGAGAAGCTTGATCATTAAAAGCATCACATAATTTACAAAGGTTATCTAGCCTGTTTTCTTCCTGTTCAGTTCTGTTGGGCTTATTGTGTCAAGTGTCTATCCAAATACGTGTACTAATGAACAATGGAATTTTATAACAAACTTTTTTCAAGATAAGTGAAGATACCACATTTAGACTCTGATATCTGATTATGAAAAGACATGAATATCCATTCAGGAAATGACCCTGTTGGAAGGGCCACTGGACTAGATTTAATATTCACAGAAATTTGTGCTAGAGGCAACATAATTTTAAAGTCATTAGGGGGTTATTTTTCAAGGTATATGAAACAGAAGATAATACCAAAGACTTGGAAAAAAATCTTTGGTCATATCATGAACAGAAAAAGAACTGACCAAGAGAGTAATTATTTACCCATATGCCTACTTTCCCATCTCTATAAAATCTTTATCACAATATTCTACCCAGTGATCCATTGAGAAGAAATAAAAAGAGATTAGGCAGGCTTTCACAAATTATATCCTACAGAAGACATCTTTTTTTCTTAATGTTTTATTTACCTCTTTTGCATTCTCTTTATATCACAATCATTCCCCAATATACCTCCCATTCCTTTTGTGTCAAAAAAAAAGAATTAAGAAAAAGTGACCAACAAAGCGACCATGTCTGACAGACTATATGACATTTCACTCCATGATTCACTTCTCTACCTAGAGGAAAGAAGTATGTGTCCATATCTATACTCTGAAAGCAAGACTGGTCATTGTAATGAATCTGAGTTCAGTTGCCTTTTAGTGTGTCAAAGAGTGTGAACAATTCTAAATTGTTTTCTAGAACAATAGGGCCAATTCACAACTCCACCAATAATGTATCAGTATGCCATTTATTCAGTTATATTATTGTAGTCTTGAGTATATTGCTATCCTGGTTTTGCTTTCTCAACTCTATCAGATCATAGGAATCTAACTATATTTCTCTAAATTCATCTTCACTTTTCATGATGCAATAATATTCTCTTACATTCATATACCCCATTAGTTCAGTCATTCTCTAATCAATGAGGCATCCACTTTGTTTTTTTTTTCTCTCACAAAAGTGCCTGATAAGAATATTTTAACATATGTGAAATCTTTTTTCTCTTTTTTACCTTCTTGGGGTACATGATCAATGGTGGGATCAGTAGGTGAGAGGGTATCCTTTAATAATCCCAAATTATTTTCCTAAACAATTGGGCCAATTCATAGCTTCACCAACAGTGTACTTGTATGCCTACTTTTTTCATAAGCTCTTGAACTTAGACTATTTCAGTCTATCATTTTTTCCCCAGCGTGATGGATGAGAGAAAACTTCAGAGTTGTTTTAATTTACATTTATCTTATTGATAAAGGAACATTTCACATGGTTATTGATCGTTTGTATTTCTTTTTTTGAAAGCTTTTTGTTAATACTTTTGTTCAAGGTCAAATCCCTGATGAGAGTTTGGAATTGCTGAAAGGTGGAGTTGTAAAAGAGACTGTAGCCTTAAGAGAGGAAGAAGAGAGGAAACCAGCTCGGGAATATGAGGTTATCTTCTATGGTCATGGAGTTATGTGGACAATTAGGTGATGGATGATCTATGGACCTGGAAGAAAAGGCTCATCTTAGGGAAAATGAGCAGAAGATTGTGGGCTCAAACCATGATCAGGCTGCCAATTTTTACTTGAAATTGCAGAATAAACTTGGATCCCAGATATGAGCAATCTACTTTTCCAATGACTGAAGCAACTGAGAGAGACCAGCCTTGATCTCAGTGTAGATGTTTAGTGATCTAGCAAAGAGGTCCATAGGATTAAGTAACAAGAACGTAGTCAAGGTATGCATGCTTTCCCAATGGGCCAGGAAAAAGTTCTGAAACCTGTGAATTCTGAGAGCTGTTTCAGACAGTGTCCTCTTCCAGCCCTGGGATAGATTAGGATTATCTATATGTGGGGGGCTTGGGGAGGGGAGATTTTTCCATCTCGATTGGATTTTTTTTTTAACCATCTGCAACAGAGGAGAGGGGGAAATCACTGGCAACAGTAGTGAGTGGAGCATAGCAAGATGGTAGGCACTTTGAATGAAGACTAACAACAGGGTGTTCATATGGCTAGAACATCATCTGCTTTCTGCTCCACCTATTAAAAAGCAGGGGAATGGCTAATCAACTGAGGCTGCTGGCTATGAGCATCCTTTTAAGAGCTTTAAAAAATGCAAAAAGTTTAACCATTCTCTGTCTCTCTGAAGTGTCTGTTGCCGAATTCTTTTTCTTCAGTTTATTTCTTTAAGCTGTTTATATTTTTTTAAATTTTTTTGTTTCTCAGATCAAAAGTATGATCAACCTTAATTGCCTTTGTGATGCATGTCTATAGCTTAACTGCATACAAGAAGGAATGTACTGAAGGACGTCAATGAACAACTGGGAACATAGATAGATCAGGATGTGGATCTGAGCTTCCATATAAAATAGCCAGGATTTCATCCTTAATTGGGGACTTTGAGCTGAGAGAGGCAATCTTGTGGTTTGGATTGGTCATAATTTTTTATTAACTTCCCAAAAGGCAGAACTAAACTAGATACAGGGATATTTTTTTTCATTTCTCTAGTATAAAAATGAGTTGGAGCATAATTTTTCCTGTCTGGGAAAAGGCCCGGGGACTGTCATATGACTTGTTCTCATTCATTCCTGTTTCTTTACTTTCCTCTCTTCTCCCCCTCATCACTGAAGCTGAAGGTAGTGATTAGGGCATAGGGGCCATAAGGACCATATGGTGGGCACAGAAATAGGTGTGGCTGGTACCTACCAAACTGGTATCCAGCCAAACCTTACCATGCAGTGCTACCCAGAGTGTGGTGAAATAGGAGTAGAGAGATTTTGTTGACACCAAGAATGCCTAACAAAGGCATTCTTCAGTGTAGAACAAAGGAACTGAGTCAGAAGTCACCAGTTACATTGGCTCCACTTGGTCCTTTGAGTTTCTTTCTAAGTTGATTTGAGTGGCAACCAGTGGCATTATGGGAATTGATGTGCTAAAGCAAATTGCCTTTAAGGGTATGAATTAAAGACAGACTTAAAACTAGCAACCTCTCTAGCTAGTTTGCCTTGGTATGTACCACAAAAGAGCTTAAGATGCCTCCTGGAGCAATCAAGATAGAGTTGGCAAGCCCTCTCTCCTACGGAGCAAGAAGCCAGATAGTAGCCAGAGACCAAGAGATGGTTGCAGAGATCAGGAGGGCAGTGGAGACAACCAGCAGGTTATGCATAGCAGGGATGGGGACAGCTTTAGTGGAAAAAGCAGCTGGCCCTGTGATGTCAACAGAGGACCTGTGCAGGCCCAGCAGCAATGGAAACAGGAGTTGTTCTTCCACATGTTTCTTATGTGTGTGCCCTTCCACACCTGTCTTCCCATATGTAAACCCTCCCCCACTGGTGATGTGTTAATGTGGGGTATAATGATGTGCCTCTGGGTATATGGAAATCTTTGTCATTTGTCTTGATGTCCTGTTTAATTGAATGACTTCTGCTTTGAATTAGTGTGTTATTTGGTTGGCTGGTAAAAGAAACACACCAATAGAGAATCCTACTCTATGGTTTTAAATGGATGATGACTTACACTATGACTTGAACCTGGGATAGCATTTATGATAGGTGCTGGAGGAAGGAATGACATGTGAAGAAGGGTATCCAGGAATTACAAAGAATTGGCCTAGACAATATATGACAATCAAACCACAGCCTGCTGGACAGCCGAGGTTGTGGGGAGAGGTGTATGCGCATTAAGTGGTGGGGACAGAATATGGTACTCCTTCCCCTTCCTCAAAGCTCCAGGACTGTCAGAAACAAAAGGCTCGGGAAAGCATTGTTCTGGGAGTGTCCCTAACCACGTCTCTGCCAGAAGGTTCAGCTAAGCAAACTGGGAGAGCTTCCCACATAAGACAGCTGCTGCCATCCTCCCTCACTCCTATTCTTCCCTTCCACTTGGGTGGGAGGGTGGGGAGAATACAAGTCAGCAGTTTGTTATGCCCCTTCTGAAAGCTCACCAACTTTTGCTTTAAACAGTCATTGTAATAAAATTAACTGCTAATATATCATTTCTACCTTTGGAATCCCTTGTACTATTTGTAAGCAAAACAGTCTTATTTATCTATGGCCGACTGTTCTGGATTGCAGTAAAAGTGGTTGGGAAGGCCACCTCCAGAGAAGTGCAAGAGGATGTGTGCTATTATTTATATGGCCACAGTTTTTGGAAGAGAAACTCCTTGTGCCCTGGGAGATGACAGAAAATTACCTACTCCTGGATGGGAACCTGGTTGAAGGGATTTCTAGCTCAAGTGCTGTGGGCTGTAATTCACTAAAAACACAAATTTGAGGAACCAGTAGATAACAACCCCCATCAATGTGATGGTCTTGTGTGAACCTGAGTCAATTCAACAATTCAATTCAATTTAACCAACATTTATTAAGAGCATTTATTAATTATTAGGCACTCTGCTCTGCAACGGAATCTCCCAGAAGTCACTGAGTCAGTCAAGAGCCTTGTTGAAGGCAAATTATCTAACCTACTCAGTACAGATCTGGTTTATTTCCTGCCCTGTGTCTATTCACTTCTCCATCACTTTCAGGAACTAGAAAGATGCACTGGGATGGGCAGGTACTTGATTGGGAAAGCCGAAGGACATTACATTAGGGTAGTGCCACGTCAGGTTGAATAAGCAAAGATGCAGCCAGGCAGGGCAGCAGGTAGGTCCTGGCAGCCAAACTGATCTGGACACTGGGGTAGTCTGGTGGCAGCCAGCAGGGAGTGGGGGTCACAGGGAAAGGAATCCAGGTCCTGGGGAAGAAGGGGATTAGGCACCAAAGCAGTGACTTCAGGCTCACAAACAAGACAAGAATACAGTTAACAAGGCGGAGCGGCTTAATTACAACGAACAACGTAGGGGTCTAGTTACTAGAACTGAAGTACAAGCTCAGCAAACAGCAGATCTGATTTGATTGGTGCAAAGCCCTCACCTATGAATCAATTCAATTCCACAAATATTTATTAAATACCGACCATGAACTGTACTAGGTGTTGGGCATACAAAGATGAAATATGTCAGTTTCTGTCCTCAGAACTTACAATCTAAGAAGGATGATAAGACACGTACACAAATAAATGATATAAAATACCAAAAGGCAGTGTTTAAACAAAGCAAATTTGTGGTGGGAATGATCATTTTCAGCTGGGGAAATCAGACTCAGAGGAGCTGGGCCATGAAAGACCTTTCCCTAACTTAGAGGCTGGACCAATCCAGAATCTCAGGACACTAGTCTAAGTCTAGTTGTCAGATCCCTGATCCCAGAGCCCAGCACAGGTCAAGGATTAAATGATTCTAGTCATGGGGACTAAAGGAATAGAGGGGCAGAGAGTCAAGCCATCTCTCAACACCCCTCCCTAGATACACAGTCCTCCTGTGGAGGCAGCTCTCTCTCCTTTTCCAGGTATAAGGGTGAGGACACAATCCCAATCCTAGGCTTGGGGTACCCTCAGGAGGTCAACTAGAACACAGAAATGGTGGGGGTGAAAGTAGGAACTACTTTGTCTATAGATGATCTCTGATTTTTATCAGCAGTGAGAACATAAGATGAAAACCCACAGACATTACACAATTGACTACTGTCATCTTGTTTCCTGGGGTTGGCTGTCCAGCCTCCAGTTAGCTCTGTTGTTTTAATAGTGTGCAGTCCTGTGCTGGTCACTGAAGGTAACAAGATGAGGGATGTGAGATTCTGAAGTGACCTTCCATTCTCTGAGAGCAGTGGGATCTTGTGAGGACCCAAACCATCATCTTCCCAACTCTCCAAGACTTTGAAGGAGTACAATGCAAGAAATTCAATGCAACCTGAGCTCATCCCCTACCTTGTCAGCCTTCCTGGCCCCAGTGCTGGCTTTGGAGTGTATCGTGGGGCTAGCGGGGAATGGCTTTGCATTCTTCATCTTCTGCTTCCACATACGACCTTGGAGGTCTAACACCATTTTTCTCCTGTGCCTAGTCATTGCTGATTTCCTCCTGACTATCAACTTACCCTTTCGAGTGGATTATTATGTCCATGGCCAGACTTGGAATTTTGGGCTTGGTGCCTGCAAGGCTAACCTCTTCATGCTGTCCACCAACCGTACAGCCAGCATTGTCTTCCTCACTGCTATTGCATTCAATCGATATCTGAAGGTGGTATGGCCCCACCACAGACTGAGCCAGGCATCTGCAGGGTCAGCAGCCCAGGCATCTGTGGGGCTGTGGGTGCTCATCCTATTTATGAATGTGCCCCTACTCCTCAACAATCCCCAGCCCCTCTACTCCCATGCCTCTTGCCTCAGCTTTACAACAAACACTGAAGACTCTATTGCCCAGCGCTGGCACCATATACTCTATGGGCTGGAATTCTTTCTGCCACTGGGAATCATCCTTTTCTGTATCTTCAGCATCATCTTCACTATCAGACAACGGAACTTGGGCAAGCAAGCAGGGGCACGACGGGGGATGCTTGTCCTGGGAGTAGTTGCTGCCGTCTACTTTTTCTGCTTCTTGCCCAGCATTGTCTTTGCGATAGCTTCTGCTCTAGCTATGCGATTCAAGGACTGCCATGCCCTCAACATCTGTACAGAGCTGTTCCATGGAGCACTGGCCTTCACCTACCTCAACAGCACTCTTGATCCTGTGCTCTACTGTTTTTCCAGCCCCAACTTTCTCCACCAGAGCAAGATGCTGCTCTGTAGGGGGGACCAGTCAGCTGAAATAAATCATGAGCAAAAAGGTGATGATGGCAGCTCTTTCAATCCAACCAGGCAGATGGATTCAAGGAGAGTGGGTGCAGAAACTCTGCAGGATTAGGTCCAGATATTGGTCTCTAGGTGAGGAACCAAGCAGCCCTTTGCCCTACTCTCCCTGGTTTTATCTATCATTGGGAAAACATCTGAGAACCTTAGGTAAATGGTTTTGATTACTCTGGTCATTAAGCTCCATCACACAAATTTTGGTGGATGGGAATAGAACCTGCCTTGTAAACTCCCTCTGTCCCATTCAACCCTCAGTCTTTAAGATGTTCAAAAAGAGAGGACTGGCTGGTTATGGCTGGGAAGGGATGGGTTTCTTGGGTGATATGGTAAGACTTCTCCAGGTCCCAATCTCAAACCAGTGGTGGGAGGGCTTGGAAGGGCCTCGGAGATGGATCATGCGTGGTTGTTTCAAAGCTAAGTCCAGCCATAGCTGTTACTAGTTCTCCTGTTCTGCCTTAATAAACCAAAACTCACAGAAGGAACATCTAAGCTGGTGTCTGTGTTTATCTCCATGAGCTTGGCTGCAGTACTGCATCACTGAAATTGGGATAAAAATATATGGGAAACATTCATGGGGTAAATGTGTCAGGGTGGGGATAGGTTGGGGGTAGATGTGATTGATGGTACAAAGACCCTTCCCTTGGAATGTGTGTCTGGGTGTCAAGTGGAGTATCCATGTGTAGGTCAAAATCCTAGGTTGAGCCCTGCCATGCATGCTTTAAGACTGACCTCTCCCTCACCCCCATCCCCACCCAAGGACTATACGGAACTGGTGTGTAAATCATTCCTTCCTTTTTCCACCTAAACCCACCCCCAAAAGAAAATGACATCTGATCTTTAGGGCAGGGATGCTTTAAATGGCACCACCTCTAAATTCCATAAGGTCTAGCTTAGCTAGAATCCTATCTCTGCTAGGATCCCAAGAGGAAGTTGCAGGAGGTTGTGATAGCCTCTTGGACAGCATCCTCAGAGGTCAAGGAAGTCTCCAAACCTCCCTTTCTCCCCTCAGTAACTCCCTGGGGATCTATTCTCTATGAATTTATCTGAACCTTTCAGGAGTTTAGGTGTATGCCTAGGCTGGGTTCACCTTCAGTGGAACAAGTCCAATCAAAGTCATTGCCCATCCCTGGGTGAGACAGGTTGATTTAAGGCAACCTGGATCCAACCCCTAGAAACCCCTCCTTCTAGTGTCCAGTTGGGGAAACAGTCTGTTCTGCTATCTCCTGTGTGATTTTATCCACTTTGATATTCACTCCAGACCTTGTTCTTCCTCAGGCAGGTATTCTTTACCTATTTGCTTGTCTTAGACCCCTTGGGTAGTCTGGTAAGGCCTTCGAATCCTTTCTCAGAATGCTTTAAAATGCAATATATATACATGTGAAACAAGTTCATGGACCTCAGATTAAGAACCCCTGTTCTACAGCAACAAAACCACTGTTTATTGTTTTCCCCTACACATTCCCATCCTTTTGAAATAAATTTTAGAGCTGGAAGGATCTTTCCAAATCGATAGTCCAAGCTTCTTACTTTTACCAAGCCAAAAATGTAAAAGCCCTCGGGGCTTTATCTCACTCTCACCTTCATTTTCCTTTTTCGAAAACTCTTACAAACTAGATAACAGCAGAAATCCACAGAAAGCCTCCTCTAAAATAGGGAATGATGAATTTTCAATATGCCTCTCTCCTAGTTCCTGCCTCTTCCTTTCCTCTTCTTTTCCCCTATCTCTCATCCCATCCTACCTTCACTCCATATTTCTTGCTTCCTAGAGGTACTGATCCTGGTTGGGAAAGAGGGATTAGAGAGTATTCTTCATTTCTCTTAACTGTTTTCCCTTCTTCACTCCCTATCTTCACTTACAAAGTCCAAGGAAAATGAAGGGAGGATCACAACTCCAGCCCAGCTCTGAACTCAGCTTGAAGTTTCAAATCTCCAAATAGAAATCCCACTAAGAGCACTATCTGGATATGTACAGACATCACACTTGTTTCCTTCCCTATCACGGCAGCTTCTCCTAGGAGTAGTTTGGGGCCAAAAGAAAAACGATCTAGAACCTAAGGAGATTCTCCTTAGTTACAACTTGGGGATTCTGAGGCCTAGGGAACGATGAGGAACACTGTTCCTTCAGACCTAATCCCTTGCCGTCATTAAAGTTCAATCAATCAGAACACCTTCATGAGTGGGTGAAACAAATTCTGATCAGGTTTTTCATCCAGGGGGTGGTTTTGATTCAGTTGTATAAAGTAAATGCACAATATGACTCCTGAGGCTTAACTACTGGAAAGCAGGGCTTTTCTCTTCCTTTTTTTTTCAGAGATGCTCACAAAACTAACTAGAGGTAGCCAAGGCACTGCAGTACAAAGAATCCTGGCTTTGGAGTCAGAAGACCTCAGTTTGAATCCCGCTCTACCACTGATTGACAGTGTGACTATGAATGAGTGACTTACCCTCTCTGAGTCTGTTACCTTGTCTATAATGCCTGGTTTGGGTTAGTGCTTACAGCTGCAACACAAGCATTAGGGATAGCAGGGCAGTGAGTCAAGTTGAGTTCTGTGAGATGATCAAGGACAAAGCTGCTTGGCTGGGAGGATGGACAGCAGAGTTGGGGAAAGGGCCCCTTTGAACACCTACACAACCTCCAATCATATCAGATGCTCAGTGTACAATATTTAACCACAAAATGAGGTGACTTCTCCCTACCTATCCAGTCCTAACAGAGGTTAGTCCTATACAACTAAAAAAGTAATGCTTCTTTGGGGCTCATAGAACCGAGGAGTTGGAAGGGGCTTTACAGGCCCTTCAAGACCGACCTATCATCTAGTACCTGAATCCCTTTTTTAGCATCTCTTAACCTAGCCTCCACCTGAACTTAGCATAATGGGGCACCTTACAAGAAAGAAAAACATGCCCAATCTCTTCAATGTGGTCATAAGAACTAACACCAGACCTATATCTTCAAGTGGACCCAGGCTAATAGATATTAGGCTCTGGGAAAGTTAGAATTTTAGCAGAAATATTGAAAACATGACCAATAGTTTATTTCAGTTTTTTCCTTTTGGATTATTTGTGCCATAGAGGGGAACTGGAGACAAGAGAGGAAGCAATGCTGGCATGGATGAACACTATAGGCTTTAAAAGGTCATTTGACTTCAGTCATAAGAGCAGAGCTTTTCTACACTTGTGCACGTGCGTGTGCATGTATGTATGCATGTATATGTATGTATATGTGTGTGTGTAACTCACTGGGACATATGGACCAGATGGCAGTACACAGGGAAACTCATCATGCTACAGTGGGAGTTTATAGTCACAGCAGGGGAAAGCCTGAACCCTCAAGAGCAGCATTGAGTCCTATATGTCACATAAAGTTGGACTAGAAAGTTGAGTGATAGTTATTAAACTCTCTCCCATAAGCATTCATATTTCACAATCTGCTTCTAGGAAGCTCAGAGTTTACTGGCCTAAGAACCTTCAAATGGAGAAAGGATCCCTTTCGAACAAAGTTTACAGAGAGCCAGTACTCTCTCATAGTTGGATGGCAAAAGTTCTCCAAATGAAATGCCTAGGGCACTATTCCCCTGTACAGCCTGGCCCTGTATACACAATTCCTTGGACCTGGTGAATGGTCCATCTTTTAAGATCCTCAGAAGTTGGAGTTAACAATGGCCAAAAGCAAATCTGAAGGCTGCATTTAATAAGGGTTTTCAAGGGAGAGGGGAGAGGACAAGGGGTCATTTAGTCCCTTAGGTCCAAAAAACCCCCATTCATGAAACAGGAAGATTGAAAGTCTCTACCATGTAGCCCACTTAGGCAGACAAATCTGGTTTTCTTTTTCCTTCAGCCCAAGGACCACCCTTAAAGGAGTCCTTCTGGACTTTCTGAGCCCCTAGCCTCCTTTTCTCACCCTGGTCTCCATTTAGCTAGCTCCTCTTCTGGTACCCAGTCACTATCTCTCATTATTCCAGAGGACAGACCTGGAAATATTCCTGGGAAAAGGGACTGGATCGCCTCCCTCATTAAAAAAAAAAAAAAGAGGAAGTAACTAATGTTTCTGGAAGTCAAGTTAATACTTGAAGCTTTGACCCAGAGTATCATCCCATCATACATTACATTCTCTTATGTTCACTCAAATCCATCTATTTAGGATATGGCTGACCAGAAAGGCAGGGGGCCCAAGACTCACTCAACTCAATGTTGTCTCACATTTCCCGAAGCTTGGAATATTATAGGAACAATGGACCCTAAAATAAAGGGAAATAAGGTGGCTTGTGCCTGTAGCTCCTGAGTGTTTCCCTCCCGTTCTTAAGAGTTAGAGAAATGAGACAAGTCATGCATGTGGAATTCAGATTCAGGGATATCACCTACATTCACCTTTCCAGGGAGAACAATTTCCTCTTATTTTTTGTTTTGTTTTTTTCAATTCAGCCTCTGCTGAGAACTGCAAAATAACCACTTGTAAAGACACCAAGGTCTGGTGCTGAGGATAGGAGTTCAAGCCAGCAGAGGAAGAGAAGCAATCCTGTGTTTATGCAGATTCCTTGGGGGCCTCCAAGGTCTGTGGTGTCTGTCTCCTACTCCTTCTCTCTCTTTCCCCCTTCCTCCCTCCCCACTTTCATCTGCCTAAAGGGCAGTTGCCCTCTACCGGGCAGACGTGTCACAGCTTGTCTCAGCCATGTGAGGGCAGATTCAGGCCCAGTTTATCCCTTACTGGTTTGTCATTTGGATGACCTGCAGGGGTCACCTGGTAAACAGGAGCCCAGACCACCTGGATTATCATCAGTGAATAGAATGAAAGCTCCCTTAGACAGGGAAGAAAATAATTTGTGTCATATCATTTATGACAAATTTGAGGCAAAATTTAAGCACTGGGGAAACAGGGTGGGGCAAAGGTAATCTAAGAGCTACATGTGAAACGTTAAGGCCTCAGGCTATATCCAACAATCAAAAAGACAGGCGACAAGGAAGGGGGCTTTCACAGAATCACAAAAGGCAATTTCTGCTGCTTGAGACAGGTAATTCTGGAGACTCTTGCTGCCCAGGGGGAGAGAAAGTTTCCCTTTTAAAATAAACCGCACAACTAACAGAAGCTTAGCATCAGAGGAAGTTACGTAAAGGTGGTATCAAAGCTGTGTGACTGTGATGCCTGGTGAAGGGGAAAAGATGTCACAGTAGGCTGCACATACATGAGCACATTTCTTAAGAATTCTTTCAAAAAGATGTTATACCCCCTCCTATACACAATTACACATCCTCACAAACCACAGTCAGGCTGATCCATGAAACATTACTGGCTTTCCAAGGCAGCAGGGCTCAGGACTTGCTTCATTCTAGGAGATACAGCTGACCATTTATGTGCTCAAGAGGAGGGAGAGAAAAACTGCAAATCCTGTGATGCTGGAGGGCTGCAGATAAAATAGGGTGGAGTAGGGTAAACTTTCATCTCCTCATTTCTCAAATGGGTCCTGCTCTTGGGCAGCTTGTACCTTGAGAGGCTAAGGGAGATGCTATTGATTCACAAAATGGAGATGTAGCTTTGGGGATCTGAACTCAAGTTTCCCCACTACGGGAAATTGGCTCAGTGTGGGGTCAGGTCATGGGGGTTTCAAGCTGGAATGTGCCAGGAGCACAACTGCCTCTTCCTAAGCCAAAGCTGTGAACGTCAGTAGGACAATGAAGTGAGTCTTGGTTTGGAGGATGGGATGAGGGCATCTCAGTCTGAAACACAGCAAGTGAGTTCTGGAAAAAAGAAAGAGAGAGAGAACTGGGGTCAGCAGATGCACAGTCAATGCAGTATGTGGAGAGTTAATGGTCAGTAAGGCAGAGATTTTGCTCCACCTAAAACCTGGTCTAATCCTAAACTGAAGTGGAAGTGCTCAGGGGCATACTGAGACTATTGTTGGCACCTCTTCTGGGCGTACCTTTGGAAATATAATTGTGGCAGAAAGAGAAATGTGAGGATATATGTGACTCAAGGCATTTTTTTTTCTTTTTAAATATGCAAATAATCAGTCATGACTTCTTAATGGCTTTACAAAATAGGGTGGGGTCAAATCACAAGGATGGATCACTACTGACTTAGACTGTCACCTAATGACCAAGTCACTAGGCAGTGTTCCTGGGTTTGTAAATGGTCACCATATTTCTCCCCAGAGCTGGTATCCAACAACAGGTAAGGCACGTAGCACATGGCTGTGGGATTTACCAAGAAGTTACCATAGCCAATTTACCCATTACAAAGTAGGTGTTCTATATGGGTTGTGAACATTTTTCTCTGAAGGTGAGGAGCTCACCCAACCAGCCCCAACTCAAACACTGCAGTAGCCACTCACTAAAAGACTAAGGAAATGGAAATTGTCCCCAAATCACAATGAAAACCCCAAAAGGAGGTGTAAGCTTTCATCTCCTTTTACAAGGTTTAACGAAATCTAGGGAATCTTGGTAGAAATGAATAAATGAAAAACAAGTTGCTTGCAGACTATGTCAATAGCATCTTGCATTACTCACTAGATTTCAAAACATATCAGTTTTGAGGGAGGTAGTTGACAGATTCTACCAAAGGGTTGGCTGGGATGAATGTGTTCCCACTAGATGCTAGTTTGCTAAGAGTGGACAGATCTCCAACTCTCCACTAAAGTTTCCTTTCTTATTTGGACCACTTTAGCCATCTAGCACACCAATCCCAGGGAGAAATATCAAATGTTTAAGTGGCAACCCAAAAACTTTCTTTCTCAAGGTACTGAAGACATGCAGAATCACAAAACCTCATGGTCAGAAGGGACCTTGGAGGTTCTTCAAGACTAGTACTTGAATATGAATGCTTCCAGGACATCTGACAAGTTATCATGTAGCTTTTGCTTGAAGCCTTCTAGGGAGGGGGAATCTACTACCTTCCAAGGGAGTCCACTCCAGTTTTGGAAAGCCCTAAATTGTCACATTTTTCCTTAAACCTCTCTTGTAGCAATTTCTATCTATTCATAGTTCTGTCCTCTGGGGCCATGCAGAACAAAGCTAATTTCTTTTCTAGGTGACTTCTCCTCTAATACTTGAAAGTAGCTATCATGCCCTGTTAAGTCTTCTTTTCTCCAGGCCAAACATTCCAGATTCCTTCAACTGATACCTATATGGCATGAATTTGGCCTTTTTGACCATTCTTTGGATATTCTTCAGTTTATCTTTTCCAAAATGTGATACCCAGAAATGAACACAATACTTTAGTGATGGTCTGACTGAGGCAGTGTATAAGAAGAGCACCACCTCCCTATTCCTAGACTGTATGCCTCTTTTCATGTAGCCGAAGGTGGCATTAGCTTTTTTGGCTGCCATAGCACAATTGACCTTGTAGTACACCAAAACCCACAGGTCTTTTTCAGATGAATTGCTGTGAATGTATACATACCTCATTGTATATATTTTATTTGGACATTGTTATTTGCATTAGATCCTTGAGGGCAGGGACTGGTTTTGCCTTTCTTTGAGTCCTAGTGCCTGGCATGTAGTAAACTCTTAATAAAGGCTTGTTGACTTGACCTCCTTCCATCTCATATTGTGATGTTGGTTTTAAAAATCCAAGTATAAGACTTCAGATTTAACCTTATTAAATTTCATCTGGCCCAATGTCAAGATGTTCTTACAATCTGATTCACATCCAGCTATCCCTTCCAGCTTTGTGTCTTTGCAGTTTTGATAAGGATCATTTCTGGTTTGTCCAGATCACTGATAAGTAGCCCACACTTCTGAGGAACTCCACTAAAAATCTCCTTCCAAGTATATATTAAATTCTTTATTACAATTCTGAGTCCAGCTGCTGGGCCAACTCTGCTTCTCCCTCACTTATTATCTAGTGGAACTCTCCACATTTTACACATGAATTGCTTGGGAGACTTGATACAAGACTTTGGTAAAATCTTCATTGGTTGGATCTGTGATCTTGTCAACGCTCCCTCCAACATTGCAGACCACAAACCATCCAGACCTGACTATCTTGAGGAACTCTTGTTCATTTCTTCCCGTAAGTTTGTCAGTGGAGTCACTCGACACATATTGGGGGCACGTTCCTCACTGTCTGACGATATTGTGAAGACACAAGCAGAGTAACCATTTTGTTCCTTATTCTAGTCAAATGGCCAGTCCATTTTCTTTAACCATAAATTTCCCTGATGAAATCCTTTCCTCCTGTCCTTCAAAGTTCCTTGTTTGTTTTATTTTGTAGCATACTTATACTGCTCCAGGTGCATCTCTACTGCCTTTTGGGTGATCTTTATTTTTAATTCATTGGAGAATGTCGTGTTTCAAAAATTGCAGCCACACAACACTGGTTCAATATTGGTGTGTTAACAAGATGAGCTTTTGTTTTTGAGGGAAGTTTAGGTTTATTAAAAGAGTTCTACAATTTTCTGAAGGCAATCTGGCTCATGCTTTTCTTCATGTTTGATTCTGGGCTAAATTTATCTGTGTGTGTTACAATCTCTCTCTCTTTTTCCCTCCTTGCCTCCTCTCTCCACACACACACACACACACACACACACACACACACACACACACACAC